CTGGAATAAAAGGGAATCATGACATGTCACACATGTCGTGTGTCCTTAAGGGGTTAAACCAACCAATCAGAGCGCTCTGAGTCAAATTGCAGGGCGTGGGAAGGCTTTAAAAGTCTTTCCCTGCCCTCCGGAGCTCAGTCTGCGCTGTGCTTTTGCTGGGTGAAGTTGGATTATTTATTTAGCGTCTGGATTTTTTTTCATTGTGTTTGCGCTTTTTTTTATTATTTTTTTATTATTATTTATTTTACAAGTTCGACTGGAATTTATGGATTTTTATTTGACTTTTTGGGGGGCTGAAAACATGTCTTAGAAAAAGAAGACATCTAATGGTAAGTAGGATTTTTTTAATATTATTTACAGGTATTTAGCTTTTTATTCCCCCTCATTATTTTTAGGGTGAGAGTGGTAGGTAGGAAAAATTTTTATTTGAGGAGGGCTGACTAGGGGCTTGGGGACCCCTAGTCACCTTAGGGGGTGGGGGTTTACTTTTACTGTTAACAATCACAAAAGTAAGAAGTATCTTACTTGCTTACTTTTGTGATTGTTATTGCTGTTATAATTCTTAATACCAGGAGGTCCTGAAGAGGTCCTTTGAGGACGAAACACGTAGGACCTGGTACTATAAGAGCTTTATGCTTTTATTTTTATACTTATTTTAAAAAAAGAAGAATTTTTTTATTCTACAACCCGGAGTCTGACTCTTGTCATCTTCATAAACAGGAGGAGTGGTTTTTAACCCCCATCTATATGGGCAATATTCTTTCATCCTTCTTGTGATATTCTACATAGCGCATTTACAATTATTTAAGTGTTACACTATTATTTTTATTTTATTTTTTTATTCATATGGTAGATCTGCAGCTGTATCCTCCTTTGTTTGTATGCATTTCAGTACATAGCTCCTCATGCCAAAGCGTGATTTGGGATTTGATATATGTATTGAGTTGTTTTTGTACATCTTGGGTTAACATTTATTATAGACTTTGATCTTACACCAAGTTAAAGCTATAAAACTACTAGATAACCATCACCAGAGCTGGACATAGGGCATCGTAAGAGGTATTGGTACATAAGCTCTGACTTTGGGTTCTTTAAGAAAATATAAAATGGGCAATAAACTGCCAGGGCCAAACCCCTCTGATCCACCCAGGGGTCTGCCCACTTAGAAACCACTAGTTTTAAGGTATATATTGAGGATGTTGGACTATCCTGTGGGTGAATTTTTTTTTTTTTTATTTTTTTTTAAAACAACTACTAGGAGACATGTAACATCTGAATCTCCCACAAGAATTATATAAAAGGGGTAAATATATGTAAGGAATTTCTTGTGTTTTCTCCTATTTTATTTTATGGACTGTTTTGCAATTTGTTATCTGTGTTTCTGTATGTCATTTGTTTCTGTATTTTTGTACACAGCACTGTGAATCTTTTTTGTCAGATTAAATGTTTGCTTAATCAGCTTCTTTGTTCTCTATGAGCTCACTCTTCTGATTAAAGCTCAGGTAAACACGTTACTAAAAGGGTTAATTATAAATGTCTGATCAGTAAAGTAAGATTGTGATAGTATAATTCTACTGTGTGTGGGGTAACCTAAGACACCTGGATATAAAGTGTTGGTGGTGGCATTAGGCTGTTAGTGTAGAACAGGGGTTCTCAACGTTAGTCCTCAGGACCCCCTACCAGTCCAGGGTTTAGGGATTACCTGGGTGTGTCTAAGGTGTTTAGAAAAAGAAAAAAAAAACACCTTGGATTCTACGGTGTTTTTTTTTTCCCTTTTTCTAAACACCTGAGACACACCCAGGTAATCCCCAAATCCTGGACTGGTAGGGGGTCCTGAGGATTGGGTTGAGAACCCCTGGTGTAGAAGGTATTGCAGGGGTTAATTTAGCGGTTGCTGGGACTAGCAACAGGTAACCAGGGTCTGGTGTCATTAACCTTTTCACTTCCACACTCTCCCCACTGTCTCAGCTGGGGAGAGTTTTTTTTAGTGCTTGCTGGATTTTACCTTAGCACTAAAAGAAATTGCATACTTTTATTTTGTGTAATTTCCAAAGACTGAGCTCAGTGCTGATTTAACAGAAATACAAAGTGCAAAACAGGTCTTCCCTCCCCATCTCTTGTTTTTCTTTCTCTATCCCATTTGTGAATATGGAGGCCAATCGCAAACAACCCAAAGAGGCCTTGGAATTGTTGTTCAAAGAAAGGGATTTTACCAACTTTTGGCAAAAAAAAGACACAACTTATTGCTGGCCTTGTGGAGGCTGACAGCCATGTATTCCAGCCAGAGACTGACATTGAAATAGTTACTGAGCTCCCTACTACTGCAGGAGCATTGCTTACTGGAATGCCTAGTGGTTGTATTCCTCAAAGCATTACGGACATTTGCTCAATGGATTTATTTCGGCAACTGATGGCTGCAAATCCTCAGGAGGCCTTGCACATGATGATACAACAGCAGGCTGCAGAACGTCTGGCGGAAAGAGAATCTGCAAAATGGGAGGCACAGAGGAGACATGAGTTGGAAATTGCCAAACTGCAGTTCACCTTTCAGTCCTCACTGAACAGCAATGCATCAGATTCCAGCACACATAGGCTCCACAAGGAGCCTGGAAGAGGGGACTGATTTGGATGTATTCCAAAAAAGTTTTGAAAAAGTATGCAGGCAGCATCAACTACCCTTAGACCAGTGGGGGAGATATTTAACTACACAACTGAAAGGAAAAGCCTTGGATGTGTTTGTGTCCCTTCCCCCAGAGACCGACAATGATTATGAGGCAATCAAATCTGCCTTGCAAAAAACTTTTAACCTTACTCCTAAATCTTAGAGAAAAAAAGTTTAGGAGTATGCAGCAATGCCCATCACCCAGCTGCATTCTATATGTCACAATTGGACACCACATACCAGCAATGGGTTACCGGAGTACAAGCTACTACCTATGAAGCCCTTAATGGTTCTGGAACAGTTCTTACAGACCCACAACCCCAATGCACGAGAGTTAATTTTGGGAAGAAAACCAAAAGAGCCACAGAGCTTGCTGATGACTTCGCTGACATCCAGGCATGAGGTTATGTGGGCTGTTACTTCAACCTAGAGAGGGGCTACAGTTCAAGCACCACCCGCAAGATCTGCAATGAGAACTTCACCACCAGCTGCCAGCGTAGCAGGGGATATGTCGAGTGAGTCATATGCCCACCATTGTTTTCGATTCAACCAGATTGGTCATCTGTGCAGGACTTGCCCCACTAGGCATACACTCCCATCAGCTTGTGGAAGTGGGAGCACCATCAGTTTTGCTTGTGGGTGGGTCTGTGGGGAAACAAGAGGATAACCTGACCGAGTGACCATGGGACTGAGAGATTCTGGTGCGTCATTCACCCTTGTGCGCCCTGAAGTGATGAATACAGAGCACATAATCCCTGGAAGAACAGTGTCCATCAAAGGAATTGGGAGTGTGCGTCCTGCTGTGCCCCTGGCACGTGTGTACCTTGATTGGGGTTTGGGCAAAGGTTTTTCGGGAAGTGGGAATTTCTAAACATATCCCTGTTAATGTTTTGTTGGGGAATGATTTTGGCCGGATGCTCTGTCACAATGATCCAGAGGACACTGTTTGCGAGCTAGAAGGGCTGACTGCACCACCCAAGGTATTGTGTGAAACTTTGGGAGATGTTGTGAACTGTGATTGCTGCGAGGGAGAGCAGGGGATGGATAAATATCTACATGTAACTGAACCAGTGTTGTCTACCAAACGTGAGATAGAGGTGAGTGGTGATGTGCCTGCATCAAAATACTTTGAGACTGGGATGTCTGAGAAGTGGATTAACTCATTGGGAGTCAGGGCAGGATGAGTTGGTGTGTTCACCTGTGCCACAGCCAGGAGTATGTCAGGTGCCCGAACCAGGAGAGTCTGAGGGGTTATGTGAGATTGTGAGAGCATGGCCTGGCTTGGAGAGAAAATTATGTGAGTGTGTGCAAAATTCTGTACCTGACCGAGGTGTGTCAAAGGTGTTCTGTGAAAATGTACAGGAAAAGCCTGTCCGCGAGAGGAGGCTGAATGATGTGCATGAAGCAGATGTATTTGATGTGCTGTTTTAAAATGTGAAGGAGCGATATTAGAAGTTGATCATCTTATCTACACCCCAGTTGACCTAAGTTTGGCCCTTGATTGTTTTTTATACGGTTTTCACTGTTTTTGTCCCTTGAACCTAAGAATCAATAAAGGTATGGCTTCCCTTCTTCTCTTTTTTTTTTTCTTTTATCATTCTCACTTCTTACTGGGTCCCTCATTTCCCTGTGATTTGTGTGATCTCTTTTCCCGGGGACCTATGTTTTCCTTTATTAGCCTGTCTATTAGAGATATTCCATAACTAGGGAGTTCGAAAGCAGGTGACTCTGTGCGGTAACTGTCCACCAGCCCTTCCACCTCCCCTTTACCCCCAACCTCCATTTCTGAGGTTATCTGTGCTGAGGGATGGTTCCCTCCATTCATAATTATATTTTCTTTTAACAATTTCATTGATCATTAATCCAGGTTTTGTGCTGCTTATATAAAGTTGTCTATTTTGTCTTGATCAGTTTTGAATTGCATCACTACCCTAAATTTCTGTTGTTGAGACTGTTTAACACGTACAAGTCACATGGTACAGCACTTATCCAATGTATTATTTGTCAACCTTGTTACTAAGATTTTACTTGAATCCACTGTTCTTATTCACCAAAGCAATTTGACCATGCTGCTATGATATTTGAGACTGTTCCCTATGTAGCATTGCTTTGAAACATCACATATGAACGTTCTAATTGGATATTTTATAGATGACATTATGTTGCAATCAATATGACACAGCTTGTAATAATGATTTTGTTTCATTTTTATTTTCCTTTGCAGTGACACTATAGTCATCAGAACTACAGCTTAAAGAGGCACTATAGTCATCAGAACTACAGCTTAAAGAGGCACTATAGTCATCAGAACTACAGCGTATTGTAGTTGGTCTGGTGTCTATAGTCTGTCTCTACAGAATTAATGCTGTTCTCAGAGAACAGATAGTGTTTACACTCCTCAGACGGTCACTAGGGTGCTTCCTGGGTCAGTGCTGCACAGTTTGCAGTACTAACGTTCAGCATGAAGAGGCTGAACATTCCTCATAGAGGAACTATAGTGTCCCTTTAGGATGCTAGTAGAAAGACAAGGGTCAAAAGGACAAATAAATTTTGAAGGAGGCTGTTCTTGATAATTTTGAATAGCAGTTTCAGCTTACAATGTGAAACTCTGTCACCATGTCACCACAGCTCACTATGATTATATATTGGTTGTCGGGCTTTTGTAAAATGGCCATCATCTTTTTTTATTTTAATAAAGTATTTGGATTTTATTCACTATACATCAAATTGTAGTGGCATGAAAACCCAATTGGACACAAGTTGGGTTATTTACAGGTGGTAAATATCAGGAATTCAAATTTTAACATTTAGACCACAAGCAGACTGGAAAAAAATCCCCATCTCTGCTATGTTTTCACTTTGACTAAAATGTGAATTTTCTACAAGTCCCACTTTAGTGAGTAACCTTGACAGCGATGATTTGGAAAACAATTTAGAACTCAGCTGTGTTCAGAATTTGGGAATTTTAGCCTACATTTGGCAGTTGCAAAACAACAACCAGTACTGTGAAAGTAAAGAAATCAGTATGACGAAAGTAGAACAGATAGTGGATATTTTCACAACCAGCTTCATAGAGAGTATTATTTATCCAGAATGGTGTATTTTGTTGAATTTGAAAAACATTAGTCAGACTTCATAACTGCTTACAGTAGTAGACATATTCACTAAAGTTTGAATGCACTCCTGATTAGCAAAATAGAGAAAATTACATTCCCTGGATTTGAGCAATGGATATCTACTAAAATTGATTATGGTTGTGTACCAATTATCATAAAGGGTGTCCAGGCTGACTGATAGCCTTTCCATTCACGGGAGCACTGCTGAATCCTCTGTGCATGGTCCTAGTGCTCAGCCTCCTGCATTTTAAAATCTGCCGGCAGATCTCAAAATGTGGGACAGGTCCTTGGGACATTTATGAAGGAAGAATACCCCATGATGTGGGACTGTCCTGCAAATTTAGGACTTTTGGCACCTATGTCCGAGAACGTCATTTGTTTTTTCCAGCAGGGCACTGGCAGCAAACACAGCACGTAAACAAGAAGGACCGCCTCGAGCCACAGGGTCCAGCATGCATGAAAAATAACCAATAGGGCGTTGACGGGAACCATGTGATTGTGTAAGGACCCCTGAAGCATGGCCCATCTTTTCAGAGACAAAAAGTTTTAATGGTTGTTGATCGTTAGGTAGGCCCAAAGCTGGGGCAGAGGAGATGGCTCTTTGAAGGGCATAGTAGCAGGAGCGAACTGTTAAAGACAATGAAAATGGTTGTCTTCAAGGCATCAGAGAGGTTGCATGAGCTGAGAAGCCTCAGGGATCCAAGACCTGCAGTATGTGATGAGGCCCAAGAAAGCATGAAGAACTTGTGAGTAGATGGCAGAAAGAGATTGGTAATAGCAAGTACTCTGTTCTTTGTTAGGTGACGGGTGCCATGGGAAAGGCAATGTCCCAAGAAGACCACAGAGGGCCGGCACCACTGACATTTTGTTCTGGAGGCTTTACATCCTTCTTCAGCGAGGAAACATGTTCGGAATTTTGTTCAGCAGTTGGAAGATCATCCGCACAGAGGTGTAGATCATCCACATACTGGAGCAGGACCACATCAGGGTGAGACTTCTGCCAAGGTTCTAAGACAATTGGCATAGCTTTGGCGAATCGAGTAGGGGAATTTTGTGCACCTTGAGGCATGACAGTCCAAGTGTTCTGTTGGCGATCATGTGTGAAAGCAAACAGATATTGGCAAGAGGGATCCAAGGGCACGCTGAAAAAGGCGTTTGCAAGATCAACCACAGTGAAGAATTTAGCTGTTGGAGGGACTTGTGACAACAGTGTATGTGGATTCGGGACAACAGCAGTGTCTCGGTTGGTGACATCATTAACAGCGCGGAGGTCTTGAACCATACGGTATTGGTCAGGTTGGCCTTTTTCAGTCTTCTTCTTCACTGGACATAGAGGGGTGTTACACTCCGACACACACTTTACCAGAGCACCTTTTGCTAACAGACTTTCAACTTGTTTGGAGATGGCAAGGGCTTGTGCAGGCTTTAATGGGTACTGTGGTCTTCGTGGTGGATAAGCTCCCTTTAGTAGCGTGACAACCACGGGTGGGACTCTTAGGCGTCCAATGTCATCTGGGCCTGTAGACCAAAGTCCATTGCACTGGGGGCATCTGGGACCCTTACCTTCTTGGAGGGGGAAGTCATGTGTAGCAGTAGGGGCAAAGAGCAAAGAACAGAAGTATCTTTGCGAGAAAGGGGGGTTAATAATTGAACCTGGCCGTCAGCGGTGAAGGAGCTATAAGCTTGAAGACGGGACAGAACATCAGCACCTAATAGGTTAATTGGACAAGTAGAAGAGGGTAACTGGGAGCCGCCATGAGGGAGGTGGAGACAGGAACTGGACTGGGTGAAGGGGCGGAAGAGGAAATGATTGGAAGGGTGCTGGGAGGGGAAGTGATAGTCATAACCGGAGGTGACGGGGTCTGAGTAAGCTGAGGGAGATGAGTGGAGAGGGCGGAAATGAGTGATGAAAGATCAAGGGAGGGAGGGAGTACGGGATTGGAGGCTGGAAGGAGAGGGGAAGCTGGGATGGGAGGGGTGATGGGAAGAGGAGAGGGAGCAGAGAGGGCGGAAATGAGTGATTAAAGATCAAGGGAGGGAGGGACTACGGGATTGGAGGTTGGAATGGGAGGGGAAGCTGAATCTGGCAGGGAAAAGGTGAGGGGGAGAGGGAGATGAAGGAGCGGAGGGAATGGCACAGGAAGATTGGTCGAAGGGAGATATGGCAGAGGGAGATGTGACAAGGGGAACAACGGGTGAAGGCGGGAGGGGAGCAGGAATAGAAGGAATGACAGGGAGAGGAACAAGAGAGGTGACAGGGGAGGCAATGGGTGAAGGTGAAAGGGGAGCTGGAATAGAAGGAATGACAGCGGGAGGTGGAAGAGGGGTGATCTTAGAAGAAGTGATAGAGGAAGGTAGAAGAGGGACGGGATCAGAAGTGACAGGGGAAGGTGGAAGAGGGGCTGGGATTGTGGGAACGACGGTAGGAGGTGGGAGAGAGGTGGGAACAATAGAAATGAGAGAGGTTGGAATAGAGAAAAGAGAGGGAGGTGGGAAAGTGATGGGAACAGTAGGAATGACAGAGGGAGGTGGAAATGGGGCGGGAGCAGTGGGAAAAACAGAGGGAGGTGGGAGAGGGACGGAATAGTAATAAGACCTGTCCGCCCCGAGGACGGGGTACAGAGGGGTGGGGACAGAGGAGCCTACGCCAATTGGAGGTGACGACTGGGTATTGGCGGGGATGCGGAGCCATATTCTTTCACATTGTGTTGGGCACCATCATAGGGCGGTGGCTGGGGAACATCGAGAGATGAATCATCATTACAAACATTTCTGTGATATACATAAATCAATTGTCCTCCAAAATCTAGTTCTTCCTCTAACCAGCCCTCCGGTTTGAGTCCTCTTGCCACCCGATACCAAGCCTCCACCACTTTCGTTAACCCATTATCCAACAATAAGCCCTCTTTGTCAATAAGCAATTTCCTCCAAAATTCTGGCTGTAATCTACCACTGGGTGACATTTGTAAGCCACAAATCTTTGCTATTTTCTTTATTTTTAAAATAGCCTCTTCTCCTGCTCTCTCACTATGTCACAAGCTAAGTAGTCTTTGGAAGGTCTGGCGTGTTTTACGAAACAAGGCTTCCCATGTAAGAGGGACAGAGAGAGAGAGAGAGAGAGAGAGAGAGGAAAAAGAAGGAATGTCTACAGTGCTCGACTGCCACGAGGAATTGATCTTCGTGCGTCTTCCCTAAACGTTGACTAGTCACGGGATCCGCCCACCCGAGATGGTGGCCACGGATCTGAGCAGGCGAGTGGGTGACTAACACAGCTCTGGGTAAAAAGTACAGAAGAGGTAGAAAATGAAGGAAAAGGTGAACGTGGAGAGACTAATCAGAAGACATTTACAAGAGTCACTAATGCAAAGATGTGCACATAATCCGGAATCAACAATGAGCCACACAACACACACACAGCAAGGGTACCCACACTATGGCCACAATTGAATAAAAACCATAATATAATAAAGAACAATATAACAACGAGCATAGTAACAACTAAACAGTAAATAAAACCCTGTTCTGCTCTGAACAGTTAAACAAAATTCCCAGCCTTTCTCAAGGTGGTTCCCAGCCCTTCACCGGGCGGATGCATTCCCTGCTCGCTAGGCAGTCAAGCTATAATAAATTCTCAGCCCCTCACCGGGCGGATGTGTTCCCTGCCCGCAAGGCAGTTAAGCTATAGTAAATTCCCAGCCCGCTAGACAGTCAAGCTATAATAATAAAACATAAACCATACACCAGCTGTCTCACACGCACACAAACACTCAGGAGGCAGATAGACAATCAACAGATTTGTTTAAAAAGGCACCGGATAAGAGATTACCTGTCTTGTAGCCTTCTGGAAGCTGGAAGTGGACACTGAGACGGACCAACACAAAACAGGAGAATACAGGCAAACCACTGTATTTAGGAGGAGATCAGGCTCCGGTTGTCCCACTTTCCGGAGGTCCGCTCCGGTCCCGGTTTCCGGCCGTCCAAACCGGCAAAACCCGGTGCCCCACATTGGGCGCCAAGTGATGTGGAATCAATCAATCAAATGATTATCTTGCGTATTTGCCGCCTGCCAAATTTAAAAAGATTTTGGGTTAATGAAAAACTTGAGGAATGTTTATTCTCTGGGGACGGCATGCTCCTTATAAAGCAAAATTACATCATATGCATTGTCAGAGATAACTTGGAATAATACATCAATAATTGGTTAGGTGTTAAGTGGTTCATTTAGTGCCCTTCCTACCGGGTGTGATCTCACTGGTATCTTGGAGGACTCCCCCAGATTCCAGCGCTATCTTGTTAATGAGGGTGTTAGTCGATGTCAAAGGGAAACTCCCTAGCGGCCGTTTTAGGTAAATCACATATAAGGTTGAATAATGCTGATTGTGGTTATTCTGAGTAAATAGGCATTTTATTACTATGAATTGGGTTAATATTTGTCCACAACAT